GTTTTTTGGTAGAGATGTAGACTGCAAGAGTGACGGAATGGGGTAAGCTGAGGACCTGAGAAGGAACGTGCAAGGCCCCAGTGTGTATCCACTAAAGCATTTGTTGGACTGCTTCTGTCCTGACCCATGTTTCTGTGCCAGAAGTACATGGACATTTCTGACACGACAAGATGGAGAAGGACCTAAAACTCCATCAGGCTCACACAGGGAAATGTGTTAGGACAAAAAGCTTGCTGGCACCTGGACACTTCTTTTTGGAAACTTGGATGGGCACCAAAATCAATTGACAGTCCTCTTCCGTTCAGAGCCTGTAAACTGCAGTCCCAGTACAGGGCTCTTCATTGTCCTACTCAGCTCAAAGGACCATTTCTCTCTTTCATCCTCACCAGGTCCAAAGAACGTGCTCCACCTCTTGTACAGGACATGACTGGAGGAAAACGCTTGCCCAAATAACCCTTCTTCTCACAGGCTTTCTACTGCACACAACACGCTGGAGCTCTGCCGGTTCCTTTCAAGTTCTCCTGCAGAGCAGGAGTCCAAGTAAGCTTTTGTCCCAGTACATTTCTCTGCACAAACTGATGCTGGAATCTTTTTGGTTTAGAGGCAGACTGCAAGAGTGACAGAATGGGGTAGGTTGAAGACCTGAGAAGGAATGTGCAAGGCCCCAGTGTGTTACTACAGAAGCAGTTTCTGGACTGCTTCTGTCCTGACCCATGTTACTGTGCACATGGACATTTCTGACATGGTGAGATGGAGAAGGACCAAAAGCTCCATAAGCCTTTGTCTCAGTTTAATGAGACTGAAGGGTTTGCTAAGGAGGATGAGTTATGAGGAAGACCAAACTCCTCCCTCTAAGCAATTGTAAATCTGAAATTAAGAGGTTCTAATAGAGGAAATATGGAGAAAGAAAAGATAACAGTCCTTTATTAAAGGATATATGTGTATAGGTAGGTCAACAAAAGAATACAAAAAAACCCAAACAACAATCCTGCACCCAAGGTTCCCATCAAAAACAGTTCAGTACTTTTCACTTTTTGGCACAATTCTAACCACAATCAGGAGGGGGCACTGTTAGATCACTGGAGGAGCAGAGCCTGCAGTTGGTCTGTGGTGGCCGACAGGGGGCACTGTTGGGCTCTGGTGGTCGGTGCGTGGGAGAAGCCGAAATGGAGATCTCCCCCCCACCAAAAATGGAAGGAGATAGGGGAAAGGGGGTTCTTCCTATGGACTCCCACTGTCGGCGGTTGGCTCTGGCTGGGATTCCCCCCCCTTCGTCGATGGGTACAAGCTGCTGCCAACACAGGAATGGAGGAGGGGAGGGGCGGCCTCTTCCCTCAAAGGTTCCTCTGCAGATGGCCCTGGCTTCTCTGATGAAATCCGAGGCAGGTCCTCGACCGTGAGCAGAACAAGGCGCGAGAGATCGGAGGCAGACCGTGACCAAAGGCAGCCAGATGACCCATCCAAAACCAAAAACGGATTCCAGAGCCCCCATCACCACCTTCCCAGAGTCAGGGCAAAAGTAAAGTGAGGATGCCATTTCCCTAGAAGAAAAAAATCACCCTCCTCCAGTCTTCTGAGGCCCTTTAGCTTGGAATGTGCGGCTGCTGGCTAGTTCTTTTGTGTGTGTGAATCCCCCTCCCCCCTCCCTCGTTCAACGCCTTTCTTTCACAGTGGTGCAGGGGAAAAAAAAAAATTCCAAACTTGGTTTTTTTTAGAACAAGTAAATCTATTACAGCCTTGCATAGAGAAATGTGCTGGGACAAAAAGCTTGCTGGCACCTGGACACTTTGGAAACTTGGATACGCACCACAATCAAATGACAGTCCTCTTTCCTTTACAACCTGTAAACTGCAGTCCCACCACGGGAGTCTATACCTTCCTACTCAGCTCAAAGAAGCATTACTCTTGTTCACCCTTGCCAAGTCCAAGGAGCCTGCTCTACCTCTCACACAGAAGAACAGTCCAGGAGAAAAACGCTTGCCCCAATATCCCTTTCATCTGCACACAGCACACTGTAGCTCTGCTGGTTCCTTTCAAGTTCTCCTGCAGAGCAGGAGTCTGAGCAAGCTTTTCTCCTGGCACATTTCTCTGTGCAAATTGCAGCTGGAATCTTTTCGGTTTAGATGCTGACTGCAAGAGCGACAGAATGGGTAGGTTGAAGACGGGAGAAGGAACGTGCAAGGTCCTAGTGTGTTTCCATGGAAGCAGTTTGCTGGACTGCTTCTGTCCTGACTGTTGGAATATATACAGTTCCAGTAGAATTTGTAATGGGAAGTTAGAACTCGTTTCACTAGGAGGACTTTCTGCCTGGGTGATGGCTCTTTCTCAAAGGCAGTTTCGATGCTTCCCCCCCCCCCCCCCAGGCCCCCGGCATAGGAAGAAAAGTTCTCAGCCTTGATCTCTGGTATGTAGAGAGATAACATGTTTGCAGACATGTACAAGGCCTCCTTGGGCCAGAGAGAGTGGAGGAGGAGAGAGAGGATACAAAAAGTCATGGAGGAGGTGGGGCTTTGCCTTTTGCCCCTGAAGGTTCGATGCAAACTTCATCGTAAAAAAGTGGTCCTTGCATCTGAAATAAACCGTTTTTTTATCCTTCCACTGACTTGGCATTCTTGAGAAGAATACCTGTGTATGTTTTCATTACATTTTTGACATTGAATCAGCAGTTCCCCATAACCATGCAGTGGTTGTGGAGAAGATCAAGGAGCGGAGGTATAGGAAATGAATAAGACGGTTTTATTACAAGCAGGGGTTTCCATGGTTGCCTCGTGCTGAGATACATGGAGGTCATTTTATTTGGGGAGTTGGGGAGCCATTTTGTGGCTGAGGACTGGTGGGCTGCTTACTGTTCTGCTTACAGTTACCTATTGCTGCTTACTGTTCTGCTTACAGGGTTGCTTACAGTTACTGTTACTTACAGTTACGGTTACTTACAGTTACGGTGTGAAGGCGGGTCGGAAAGTATGTAAGGCAGTAAGACCAGTCTGGGCTCACTGCCAAGGGACCATGCAGCCGGGGGCAGGGAAACAACTTGATAGGTTGATTAAAACAACCAATGGACTGCAAGAAGAGAACTATATCACCTTTTAAGGAAGAAAAGAGTGAGGCTTGGCATGGGAGGAGCGAGGGAGTGGTTATGTAAATCAAAGGGTCTTAAAACGGCTCATCCCTCCCATTCGGGGTGTGCTCGGACCTGGTCACAAGTCTGGTGCACCCAGTGCACTGTTAATAAAGTTCTTTGTTTCACTTTATTGGGGTGTCTCTGAAATTTTAATTAGAGATATTTCTCACAGGGGGGCCATGTCGATGACCCCCCATGTCGTCAGATTGCCGGACTATGACCCTTGGGCCCCTGTCACTGACTTCCTGCTGAGCATGACTGATACAGAGCACCTGCGATGTGTTTGCATTTAGAGACAGGGTGAGGTTGTCTTTGGTAACTGCCCCAAGACCTATCCCAGACACTAGGGACCCTACCCAGGAACCTGCCCAACAGCCTGCCACTGTCCAATCACCTGCCACGGCCCAACAGCCTTCCCTAGACATAAATCACTCTGATTGGATGGGATCATGGGAGGAGATAGGCCAGGTGCTGAAGGAATACTCTCCCCCGATTGTTTGGAATCTCTCCACTGATCAACCATAGATCCCCTGTAAGGTTGCTGAGTGCCTGAAAGAATACTGGTCCATAAATTCCAGAGATGGACAGCTCATAGCAATGTGTTGGACCTTAGCTAATGCTTACCACACTATGGTCTGGACTGTACCACACCACCTACAGTCAGAAGGGAAAGATAGTGGAGCAGAGAAACCAATAGACATCACAAGTGCTCAGTCCCCAGTCATGCCAGAAGGGAAGTCACAGCCAGCAGAAGTGGTCCCGGTGCAAAGGAAGAAGTCTAAAGCCAAGTCAATACACCCAGTTAACAAGGACGGGGAACCAGGGTCTTCACAACCAGTGGAGGAATCAGAGCCTGAGATTATTATCGAATCCCTGTCGTGTAACCAGCTCCGCAACGACATTACCCAACACCAAAAGGAGCCCATTTTGACCTGGTTGATCCGAGTGTGGAACCTTATGAGTAAAGGCTTGCCACTTGATGGCAACAAAGCATTTGGGATCCCTGGCCCAGGATGTGGGTATCGAGCAAGCATTCATGAGGGAGTCAGTCCCTTTCTCTCTCAGAGCAACCTCAAACAGGTGTGTGAGAGAAGTTTGTTTACAGAGACTTCTTGCAGCAGCACCATTATGAGGTAGCCTGGAAGACCATGGAGGAAGGTATCCAACGCCTGAGAGAAATGGCACTGTTTATTGCCTTAAGAGACCGCAGAGAAAAAAGACTCCAGGTCAATTTAGTGTGTAAGATAAAGAGAGTAGGTCCTTTAATCTCAGGCCTGAGGCCCAGAGAATGCACATGACACACGCACCTCTAGACAGTGGTTCTATGATTTTATAATAAGGTCCATCCAATCCCAGATTTGTCCACCCCCGGTTCTGCCCCCCAACATGCCCCTTCGGGAATTGGGTTTGGGGTCTTTGGGACCCCTTCTTCCTCATCTTCTTCGCAGCAAGCACAGTTCTTGGAGTTCCTCCAAAGTTCTGGGCTTGAAGGTTGCTGCGTCTGTGTGATATCTTCTGGTCCAGGTCTTAAGGTGTTTTTCTACAATTCTACCTTGAAAAGAAGACTAAACACGCTAACAGAATTTGGAGGGATTGATATGGAATGGTGTTGTAGGGTACCTGTCAGTAGGTCTTGGTCCGTGGGGGAAGAAAGACACACGACACACAGTAGGGTGATGAGACAGAGAGATGTCTGCCTGCTCAGCCTAACAGGCAGCTTTATTGAGTTCCCTAACTTCTATTTTCCCACACATATAATATAAACATATTCTTACAAAAACACCCAGGAATGCAGCACCTGCACTCAGCTAAACAACTTTAACCTTGTACTCTTTATAACTCAAGGTTGTGTCCATGGGAACTATCTAATTAGCTCCACTGCTCTCATGGAAAATGGCCCAACAATTTGTAATATTCCAAACCCCTCAAGCTTCAATTGTGGGGCTGCGACTTCACCTCACAATTCCCCCCTTGTCTGTAGTTATGCAACAAAGACTGCCCGTATCATATCTTGCAGGGCCCTTTGCAGGAACGACACTAGACAAGGCAGAATCAGCAACACAACTACAACTACCAACCTTCCAGATGTACAAGGCCCCCCTATTGGCTGTGCAGGGATTCCTGGTCAGATTCTATTTCCACACAGAAGAAACACTCCCGTAGGGAGTCGACAAGGTGCACTCACTGCTAGAGTACTCCAAGTCAGATTCTTACTGACACCAGAAGGAACTATTTTTATAGAAAGATGATTCAGGGAACACATCCCGTACCATAGATTCACCACGTGCTCGTTCCATGTCATAACCTACACGATGATTAAAATACACACAGTCTTTTACAAACAGTGACTCTAAAATATCTAACTTTTGAAGTGGACTGTTAACAGACAACACATCATCCCAGCTATCAACATGGTCAAGACACCCGCGCACAGTATGACAGTCCTGTTTCAATAAGTCATGCCATCGGACAACATCCTGCACCAGGAGAGATGCTTCCGTGTCAGCCAGAGGAACACCAACAAGACAGATGTGAAATGGCTGCTCTGGATACACCAGTGATGCACAAAAGGTTGTGTGGTTCCATTTCTTCATTAGTGTCACCCAGACGTTCCGACTGTGCCATGGAGTGAACTTTGACAGGTCAGGAACTGCACTGACGACTTCCAGGACCAACAGCAGGACGTACATACAGCGCAGGTATTCAACGAGGGCTATTATCTGTAGAGACAAACATATCCCTTTCCCCAAGTTATCAAGTCATGTGGATCAGACCATTGACCAGAGACAAGGTCTGCATCTGCATGCTGTGCTCCATCCTCAGCTCTCACAGGGATCACAAGATTATCAGTTTGGATGAGGCTTTTTGCCAAGCACAGCATGTTTTTCCTGAAACTCTAAAAGAAGGTAAATAAAAACAATCGCCAGAGAAGGTCAAAAGTTTGAGACATACAGAGTTTTGTCTAGCCTAGAGACTGAGGGGGTTATCCCCTCATTCCCCCTTTCTGTTCTTGAAGCAATTGCTTCAGGGCACCATGCACTCTCTCCACAATGACCTGTCCTGTAGAAGAATGTGAAATAGCCATAACATGAGTGACCCTCCACAAAGCAAAGAAAATTTGGACAGATTTACAGACATAAGACAGCTTATTGTTCGTCCGCACTTGAGCAGGTACTCCAGATGTAGCAAAAGCACAACAGAAGTGTTTAATGACATCATGGCTTTTTTTTTTTGTCTAGTATGTGCATTAGCAACCACCACATGGGAAAACATGTCAGTGGACACATCCACATGCTTTAAATTACCAAATTCATTGACATGAGTGTCATCCAATTGCCACATCTGTAAGGTTTTAAGGTCTCGAGGGTTAGTACCAAAATAGACAGGAGTATAGGCATTGCAACAATCTGGACAAGAGTATAGGCATTACAACAGTCTGGACAAGAGTATAGGCATTATGACAGTCTGGACAGGAGTATAGGCATTATGACAGTCTGGACAGGAGGCAACAATTAAGCGAGCAATAGAATGAGTCAAACCAAATCAACATCTGAAAGCTTCTGCACCTTGATAAAAAAACAACTAATGAGACAAGACAGCTTACTGGTGAATGTTAGGAACAAGTCTCAAAGTAACAGCAAAAACAAGAGCATCTGTTCAGGCATTACCCTCTGTGAAGAACCCTGGCAAAGAGGTATGACTATGAACATGTAGCACAAAATAAGGAACAAGCCTCTGCAAAAGAGTTCTTCAGAGCTCGAACAAAGGTTGAAAAATAAGACCTGGAGATGGACAATACAACACCACCTGATCAAGTCGCTGTAACAAATTAACAACATATGCAGAATCAGTAATAACATTTAAAGACCAATTAGGAAATAACTGAAAAGCAAGAGTTACAACTCGACGTTCCACAATTTGAAGAGAATCCCCCTGATGAACAATTTGATGTTGCCATCCACATTCTGCTTTCCACGCTACTGCAGCTTCACCCGTCTTCCTCAAGCCGTCCACAAAGACTGTAAGACCATCGAGGGGCCTCTGCGTTGCGTAGTGTTTTTGTCCAATTGGAATTTCCCTAAAAAAAAACTTAAGAAGGGGATGTGAAGGTAAATGATAAGAAATTTGGCCGTGGAACCCAGCTAAAGCAACTTACAATTCATATTTGTTTCCCAGGCACCACTCAAAAGTAACAAGATTGTACAGGTACAACAATGTGAGCTGGATTTCTGCCAGTATACTCTATGAACTTCCTTCTAACCTTAATGATGATTTGAGCTATGAGCTCAAACAATCCAGGAGCAGTTTTCGAGCTCGATATGGCAAAAATAACCACTCCATGATGTGCAGTGGATCAGACCAATGGTCAGACCACTGTACCAATGCCCCAAAAGGAACACTGTGATCTGCAAAAATGAAAAATTAGACAATTTGACAACGATCAATTCATGAAACAAATTTAGAATGTAAAACCTGCTCTACTTGCTGGATGGTTTGAACTGCTCTTTTAGTCAGTTCCCTTGGTTCCTGAGGATTGTCAGAATGTTTGAGCAGGTCAAGTAGAGGTGCCAACTGGGTGTTTGCCAATTCCAAATAGGACCTAATCCAATTCAAAGACCCTAATAGCTTTTGTACATCAGTAAGAGTGTTGACATTAATATCCAATTGAACTGGCTGAGGAATGAGTGCTTTCTGTGTAATTTTGAACCCTAAATACTTCCAGGGTTCCTCTCGCTGCACCTTCTCAGGAGTAACTACTAGGCCAAAGGATTGTAGACTCTTTCTGATTTCAGCTTCCAACACACACCCAGCTGATCCTCAGTAGCCACAGGCAGTAGAAATATCATCTATATAAAGATAGCAAAGACAGTCAGAAAATTGCATTCGTATAGGAGACAATGCTATAGCTGCAAACCACTGACAAATTATAGAAGAGTTTGTCATTCCCTGGGGGAGGGTTTTCTATTCATTACAGTCGTAAGGTTGTGTACAATTAATAGATGGAACTGAAAATGCAAACTTTTCTCTATATCTGGTGTCTAACTGGATTGTGAAAAAACAATCTCTTAAATCAATAATAACAATGGGCCATTCTGCAGGAAGCATAGAAGGGATCAGTAAACCAAGCTGTAATGCTCCCATGGTAGCTATTAACTCATCTGAGATCATGCAGCAGTCTCCATTTTCCATATTTTTTCTTTATCGCAAAGACAGGGGCACTCCAAGGACTCTGAGATGCTTCAGTGTGATCAACGTCAAGCTGCTCCTTAACAAGCTGTTGCAGGGCCAACAACTTTTCTGTAGGTAGGGGCCACTGCTTAACCCACACAGAAGTAGTCATAAGCCAAGTTAAAGCAGTGGTGGGTTTGTCACACCCTGCAATACAGTGACCCCAGTTAAAAATCCGTAGTGATCTTTCACCTCCACTGAGATAGAGCATCTCGTCCCCACAGGGCTAAAGGTGCTACAGTAACATATGGCCTGACAGTAGCAGTTTGACCCTCAGGATTAGTAATGAGCGCTGCATGTTCTGAAAGAAAACTCTGAGCAGTACCTCCCAGTGGTGTGACCACAGACCAGGAGGTCGACCAGGATGTCTGTGCAATGATAGTTACGTCAGCTCCTGAATGCAGAAGTTCATTCGCCTGGACAACTGATGGCAAGCTTCAAGTATCGTAGAGAGTACAGGTCAGCTGTGGATGTTGCGCAGAGATCGGCACTGACCAAAAGACTTGTGGTGCATCAGTAGAACCAAATCTTCCATCCCGATGCTCATGAGGGTCTGCTTGGGGAACACAACTCACAAAAGGTACAAGTTGAGCTATTCGTGTCCCCTTAAGAATTGTCACTGGAGGTGTGGAAACCATAGCACAGATCTGTCCTGTATAATCAGCATCAATGACTCTGACATGAATAAAAAACCCTGCAATTGTGCTACTAGAACAACTGATTAATAAGGCACTTAACCCATGCTGCCTTCGTACAATGCTAAACATCCACTAGTCAGATTATGTGATCAATACGTCTGGTACAGAACAAGCAGCAGTCACAAGTATTGAGGTCATTTTGCTGAGAACACAGCTGCAATGGGCAGGGCACGTCCCAAGGATGAAGGACTAGCTGTTTTACGATGAATATTGCCACCAACTGCCGCATGAAAGGAGTCCCGAAGAGAAGACACAAGGACTCCCTGAAACGACATTGCAGCCCTGGCCACACTGATCAACATAACTGGTGTACTCTGGTCTCCAATCAGGAGGCCTGGACACACACTATCTATAACGCTGTTGATGCCTCTGAGAAAGGACGCAGGATGGCCCTGACAGTCTGCAGGGCCCCCCCACAACAGGTTGATCAAGCAGGGCAGCAACATCGACAACCCTTGATTTAAACCCTGGAAAACACAGAAAAGCTCAAATGACTGCCTCCTGCACAGCCCACACAGCTACAGTCCATGGGCAGCACGACATGAAAAAGGAACAACACCAGTGGAAAGGCTCCACCTGAGATTCAACGTCGATAAACTTCATACAAGGTTGAAATAGAACACCAAATTTTTATAAGAATCTCTTATTTAACTTCAGTCCTAATCAAATGGCTAGCCAGACAGGGTTAGTCTGGAAATAACTAAAACCTCACCAGCTTTCATAAGAATGGAATTACTCATGGTGGGAATTTGAAGAGTTCATATACCATCCAGAATAAGGACTCACTATGGTTCAACAGAATCATGTTACACATCTTTTTAAAATCTTGACACCAGAGGAAAGTATTTTTAAATCTACACAGTTACACCTTCACGCAACTTCTCTCTTTCACACAGTCTATTTCCAGTCATGCAATAGGTGGCCACCTCAGTCATTCGTCACTCACACACACATTTTAAGTAGTTATTGGCTGCGTAGTTCTCATCAGTCTCATAACTTAAAGGGAATTTATGGCATATTTGCTAATATTACTTGTAAATCTTGTACAACTCTCCATGCAAAAGTCAAATACGACGGGAACGGACAGGATATTACCTTGGAAATTTTCAACCTTTTTCGTAGAACAAGGACACTATTTGTCATAAGGGCAACAGAACCAGTTCTGCAGGGGGCAGGACTCCCCCCCCTTTTGTCCTCCCTTCTTCACCTTTTCCCGCCCTTTGTCGTTCCCCCCCCCCCCCGAGTCTTCTATTTGTCTTGCACCCTTGAAGCAAAAGTATTGCTTCGTTAAGGGAGTTTTCATTAGCATTTGTTGCCTTTGCTCTCCTCATGTCGCAACTTAGCTACGTAGTTTGCTGAGAAAGAACAATACATAGGAGGGGAGGAACAGCTGCAGATGGACATGTTCCAAGGTGGTTTGGGGGTGAAGGGGGTGGGGGGTAGAGGGTGCAAAACAGGGGAGAAGACAGACAGCCCCCCCACTGCACCGTCTGACACCGCGGCCGCCGCTGCCAGCCCGCCACCCCCCCAGGGTCAGTGCTGCTGCAGGCACGCTGCAAGGGAGAGGAGGGTTGCCGGGGAAACACCTGCTGCGAGAGTAGAATTACTGAAGAAGGGGGGAGGGATACCGTCCCCCGTCACACCGCTCGGGACCATGACTGTTGGCGGCGTGGGGGAAAACAGACCCCCCTGCCGTCTACTGTGCCGGGGCCGGGGCCGCTCTGCCCGCAGCCAGCGCCTGGGACCGCAGCTGCTACCAGTCCG